TAGGTCTAATTGGAAAAATCCTGAAGGTCAATTTTAAAATGATTTTCTTTACCGCTTGCAAATTGACTGGAGTCACCATCGATAAAGTCTGCATCATGTATGATGCGCCAAATATAAGGACCAATCCAAATTACTAAAAACCTTTTCGTTCTTTGTATAATTTCCTCTTAATCTTCTTTAATAATGGCATGAAAATCAAGACAAAATAATTGGCATGATATTTTAAAAATTGTTTAAACAATTGAAGCTGCTGCCTAAATCTTTTAAATACCTTTCGAATTATAATTCTGAGCAAACTCAAAATTAAGGAAAACGTGCGCCATCTTTTAGTATTTTTCCTAAAATTCCGACGTTTTTACTATTCATTAAATCTCTCAGTGTAAAAAAGCCCGAATATGCAACTAGCATTAGGCATTAACTGCTTTAGTCCAGTAGGTTACTATATTATTCCTAGAGAACGCAAATGTAATACTTGTTCAACATGTGCTCTTTTGTTCAGTCTTCATCGGATGATCTCCCTGAACGCCAAGCGTTGATCATTCTTCAACAGAGTGCGAGAAGTCAAGAGTTTGGGAGTAAAAATATGATGTTGGATATTGTAACTCAATCCCGAATTTTTTTACAACAAAATACCAGACGCAGAATTCGTACAAACTTCTTCCGGAAAAAGGGGAAAAAGAAAATGTATGTGTAACCGTGAATGGCATACTGTATGTCCTTGACAGAACTAAACAGCCGGCTCATTTCGGCAATCGGCTCGCGTTCACAGAGGCTGTCTCCTAAGGTCAGACCTGAGCGTATGCAGAGGGTTACTGTGAGTGGAAGAGAAAAGATGAAGGAGATAAGCGCCAGGTTAAGGTAGGCGAACACGCGTTTGAGTTCCATTTTGCCCTCGGCTACCACTTTGCCGGTCACCCTACAGGTCTTGGCGTAAGCCATGAAAGAAGGTGTGAAATGCAATTTTCGACGTCGCTTCAACTGCAAGATTTTTACGATGAGGATACAGTTGATGACCACCAGCAGGAAACTCGGGATGAAGAATGTGAGGATTGTAACGGGCACCTTGACAGCGTAGTCGTTGGTGTTCAGCCGTTCTCGATTTATAGCGCACACCTTGGGCAGAAATTCATCTGTCAAATTTAAAAGTACAAACTTAGAAGGGAAGGGGGTTGAAAAGCTGTCAGTGCTTGAAATTATTAAAGTTTACCTTAAATTGTCGCAAAATAATTGACGAATCTCTGCCATGAGTGCATTGCTAAGAGGCAAAAAATGCTTTTATTACTTGGACACGGTGTGTGCGCCTTTCCATTTGCATTTATTATTCAGCTGTTCTTCTTCAGTGAACACGAGAAATCAAAAAATTCCCCAGATCCTTTTTAAACTATTAACCAGCCCATCTCAATTACTCAATATCGAAAAAATTACTAAATTATTAATTTAAAATCGGCGCAAATGTGCAGAAAAGGCTCTAAAGACGTAATTTATACAAAACGCTTAATTACAGTTTACTTTTAATAACAAAGCTTGAAACCACTTTTGTTCGAACATAATCAAATTCATAAAGTTTCAAAAGGAATTCCAAAGAAACGTTTGTCAAAATAACACAGAAATTAAATAAAAGGAGGAAAAATGTTTGTTTAATTGGTATATATATAATAAAAACGGGTCGAGATAACTCGATAAAATAAACCATGTTACATGTCAACTGGATGCGAAAAATGACGGCAGGACAGCCGAACAGCAGAACAGTTTGCTTTTATTCGGAGTTTTCAACTTAGTTCAGAAGTTCATCGTCGGAGTGGCAAAAAGACAAAAATTGTAGGGGATGTAAGCCAACGAGTTATCAGTGATGCACGTGGTGAATACGCAGAAATTTGTAATTCGGCGCCGAATCGTTACATCAATTGATTGGGTCTCACTGCATGGAACGGGCTTCAGTCAATCATTGGCATGTCTTTCTTTCGGTGTGGACGTTTATCTTGACGGTTGCGGAGGTGCAATTATAGTCTATTTGAAAGTCATATTGGCAAACGATTTTTTTCAGTCATTCATCATCAGGCCGGTACAGTGACATGGCGAGTAAAAATGGTTAGTTAATTGCAGCGTTTACATGATCATCATGTTGGGGGAGAGGAAGGGGGTTTCTGGGTGGGTGTAATTAAGCATCCAGGTTTTCACTCGTCTCCTGAATGCAGACGTCAGCGCGTGCAGGACGTCGGTTGCGATGCGCAGAGAATACGGGGGATGTTCTCACAGTCAGCGGGTTGAGGTCTGGATGTCAGCCGCGCAGCTTGCGTTTGAATATTACCTTCGGCTTTGTTTTGTGTGATTTCGGACGAAGTGGCTTCAGGGGGCGTGGAATTTCTGCGTGCAGTCGGCGATCATATAAATGCTGCAATTAACTTATGATTTTTTTTCGCCATGTCACTGTACCGGCCTGACGATGAATGACTGAAAACAATTGTTTGCCAATATGACTATTCAATCGTAAAATGGGAATTTTCGCAGAACAGGGTCTATTTCTTAGCTGTTGGCACGATCTTGCGATAATTCGTCGCCTTGTCGCACGGACAGCTTATTTTACTCTATGCACGATCCGAGCCTGCATTCAGTTTATCTTATGCAATTACAAGGACAACTTAAGCAAGGATGCGATAAACTACGTCCGGTTGCTCTTTGGGATTTAGTCGGACTTTGACGTCGGTATACAAAGTCTTTCGCAATCACTCCCGGATTCGCATCATTAATAATGTATTGGCTCGCACTCCCTACAGTTGTCAAATTTTGCGGATGTTGCCACTTCGGACAATATGCTCCTGTACGAGTTCGAAACTCTGAAAAATAACCAATTATTTCCTGATAATTGACTAGGCATACTTACAGCTATTGCTCGCTGACTATGTCTCTGATGAAGAGTCCGTGACGGATATCGAAACATCAGGCGAATAAAAGTATTGTTCCAGCGATCGAGTCGTCTTCTTTGCAATACTTGCTGATTTATATACATTGACACATTAGTGGAAAGGGTTTTGAGTAGACGGGACATAAAGATGCGTTCTTCAAATATCTAACT